AGGTTAGTGGGGAATTTGATCTTTCTCACACTAGACCTGATATAGCTTTTGCTGTAACTATTGCTAGCCAGTATATGTGTGATCCAAGAAAGAGCCACATGGATGATGCATACAGAATTCTAAGGTATCTAAAGGGTACACCCAGAAATGGTTTATTTTTCAAAAAGCAAGAGCAAAGATTAATAGAAGTTTACTCGGATGCAGACTGGGGAGGAACCTATAAGGATAGAAGATCAACTTCAAGTTATTGCTCATTTGTGTGGGGAAATCTTGTTACTTGGAAAAGCCATAAGCAGAGGGTAGTTTCTAAAAGCAGTGCTGAGTCTGAACTAAGATCTCTCTCCCAAGGCATCTCAGAAGGATTGTGGATAAGACGCGTAATGGAGGAGATACATGTCAAGGTTGATCCACCAGTGAAACTTTATTGTGACAACAAGGCTGCAATAAGTATGGCCTTGAATCCAGTTCAGCATGAAAGATACAAGCACGTGGAGATAGACAGGCATTTCATAAGGAAAAAGGTGGAAGACGGTGCAGTATGTCTTACATACCTCCCTACAAAGCTACAGGTTGCAATGTGCTGACCAAAGGCCTACATGGACCAGTATTTGATAGTTGTATACACAAGTTGGATATGACTGACATCTATACTCCAACTTGAGGGGGAGTGTGGTCAGACCATGTAATTATTAGATAATTATGCATAAATATTCCTTTTAATATTCATTATCCTAGGAGATTAGGTAGGATCTGTCTTTAATTAGATATTACCTTTATTCTAGCTACTGACCGATACTAGTCCCTTATTTTTTGAAGAGATTATTGCTCCTATTCCTGAATATATGTACTCGGCTCCCGTTTGATGAATATAGTGAGAAGCATATTGCTTATTTACTACAACAACCTACTCTAAACACTTCCCCCCTTCCCCTTTTATGCAGCCCCCACTACTTTAACACTGTCAAGGGCCATTATTTCCTCGGTCTTCACTTTCTACCACTTCTCAGTCTTTACTTTCTACCACTTCTTACACTACTTGTTGTCTTGAGCTTTCTCTTTAGGCCTTCTCTTATACCCACAAACCCATATGTTGGGGAGCCCAACATTTCCCCCTTCTATGAGCAACACTTGTCCCTTAGGTAGGAACTGTGTGATGACAACCTCTTTATCCTCCCAAGGGTTTTCACGTTCTAGCAAGTCTTTCCATTTAATCAAGAGTTGGAGTTCCCATCTTCAGCTCTCCCTACTTCCTTGACCATTTCATGTTGAATTTGCAACTCTAAATCCTCTATCGGACCTTTAGGCAGTAGAGAATGGGTAAGGGTTGCAACAACCAAGCTAGACTTAAAGCCTCATATTTATTGTGTTGGCAACTCTTTAATGGATTCACACCAAGAAATTCTTTGAGTATCTCAGCTGTTTCTTCTTGTATTAGTGGCTGCTCTTCCTCAACATGGTGTTGCATGGTTGCTAACTCGACACAATACCCTTCTCCCTCCTCTCTAACTGCCTTTTGATTGATCTTCGAGAAACTTGAGATTGAGTTAGTGATCAATCTCCCCCAAGACATACCCATTGCTTCCCCACCTTAACCTTCATATATAATTGTTGCCAATTCATTCCATCTCCCCCAATGACTCCAGCCATTTGACCCTAGCACCAAATCCATATTCCCCAAACTGAAAGGGTAGAAATTTTGCTTAACTTGCATACCTTGTATCTCCATTGTCACTTCAAGGCACTTGAGATTCAAAATTATTATTCTCCTATCCCCCATTGTGACTACATATTTCTTGACCACATGAGTAGGAATCTTCAACTCATCCAGTCAAGTAACAGTAATGAAATTATAAGTAGCACCACAGTCTATCGGCACCAAAGCCTCTCACCCTAACGTCTTGCCCTTCATCTTAAGCATTCTCTTCCCTATGAGTCCTACTATGGTCATCATAGCTAGTTCAATAGAAGCCATCTCCCTCTCTCTCTCTCTCTTTGCACTATTCTTCAGCCTCACACATCCAACTTGTCATTTAGGCCCCTATCATCTTCTTCCAAAAAACAATAAGCCTAAGTTGCTTATTTTCACATTTGTGGATTAGGACAAACTTCTCCTCACAGTTAAAGTAGAAGCCCAATTTACGTCTCCTATTAATTTTGTCCTCCAAAAGCCTCTTGCAAGGTGCAACACTCCCACTATTGCTCATTATCGACACGTTAGGGCTAGTCGTCTTCAATGGAGTTATCTTAGTCTCTTTAGTACTCTTCCCTCCCTAAGTCATTCTAGAAGGTGACTTAATTCTCTCAAGGGTCTCAACTACACTAAACATGGGTATGAGCATCTTGAAATTGATCCAGCAACTACCCATTACAATCTTCGTTGTTCTACTCTTCTCCTCCAACTCCCTTTCCTTTACCTTGCTTCGATCTTCCATTTGGCCAACATAATGCATGAGCTCCTTCAAATTTCTAGCGCACATTAATTGCACAATTGCCCAAATTTCTTCATTCAGTCCATTCACGAAAGCCCCATCAACATCTTGTCTAGCCCATTGCCTAATGAGGCAAAGAGTAGTTCAAACTTCTCCCTAAATTCTACAACTATTGCATCTTGTTTGAGTGCCAAAAGTTGTTCGCATTCATCCCCCAAGTTGACGGCCATGAAACCTCTCAATCACCTCTCTCTTGAAGCCACGCCATGTTCTTATAAGAGCTTGGGTTTCCAACCACTAGAACCATGCTAGTGCCTTCCCTTCCAAGCTCACTATAGTAGCATCCAACTCACTCTCCCCAACTCCATTTACATTACCGCTCCACCCTACATGTCCACCCTAATAGATCTTCTCCATCAAACAAAGATAACTCTAAACAATGATTCTTTGAACCCTCATTTTGCCTAGGCTCCTCCTTAGCCCTAATGTTCACCATCTCAATGTTCCTGACTTATTTCTTTAGATTTCTGAGTGCTTCTTGCCCAAGGTTGGAGTTTATGTTATCCTCACGTGAGGGATCCCCAATGGTGGAGGTGGTAAGGGTGGATAAGCATATTCAAAAACCACTAGAAAATTATTAAGTTGCTACAAATGAGTGCTATGAATGACTTTGCACTAGTAAATTTCTTTGACATCTCTCCTTGTTTCCTTTAGACCTCCTCAACTACTCATTCTAAACTCTAAACTTTGCCTTCCATTCTAGTACCACCCTGATAGGATCCAAGATGCGTAAAGAAAAATGAAAAGACTAAGTCTTTATTAAAATATGAAATCAGAATCTAACTCCATATATTAATAAGAGAACATAAAATTGATAGAAGAAAGTAGAAAAAATAAATCTATCAATATGATATAGAATAAAAATTTAGTTCTATGCTTCTCTCACTAGCCATGCTTGAAAGAATTTCCAAAGGCCAAAAGTCCCATAAGTCTGTTTTATTTATGATATGCATGCTTCTGAGTTGCTAAGCATATTTATAATGCTAAATACAACTAAAATAATGAATAAAATTTAAATAACTAGATGATAAAATAAGAACTAAATAAAATCTCCCAAAATTTAGATCTAATACTAAATTAAATCTAAATAACTAAATACTTAAATAAAATCTAAAAAACTAAATATCTAGATAAATATCCAGCTATCTAAATAAATAAAATCTCGATAACTAAATATCTAAATAAAATCTAAACAATATTATTAAATAGAAAATATCTAAAATAAATTAAAAATAATATTTATTCCTAATTTCTCTCTTCCCAAATCACTCATTATCTCGGAACTCCATCACAGTCAGTCCCTAGAACAACCTGTTCTAATACCAATATGATAGAACCAGTAAGAAAAAACAGCAAATGGAAAGATAATAACTAAGTATCCTCTATTTCGATAGAGAAAATGTAAAGAATACAATCACTAATTTTGACCCACTAGTGTTTACCTCCTCACGAAAAAGAAACAAGATCTCCATTAAATAAACCATCACATGACCTAGTTTTTTGAAAGACCAAGCCTCTCCTCTAAGTCCATATAACAATCTGCTTTAAACAGTTCCCCCCTTCCCTTTACGTAATCCCCTCTAACATTGTCAAGGGTCATTATTTCCTCAATCTTCCCATTCTGCCCCCTTACTATGCTTGTCTTGTGCTTTCTCTTTAGGCTTCTTTTACATGCATGGCCCCATATGTTCGAGGGGCCAACATAACCCCAATCACTTTTTTTAGAAATGAGAGTGAAATTTTTTGAGTGATTAAATGTTTAAAGTTTACAATCAATAGGTATATTTTTCTTTACCCCATACTTCACAACTGCCTCTATAAATCTATCAAGCCAAGGATGAGATTTCTATTTTAACTTGAATAATGAACTTGCATAGCTAGCAAACTATCCATACACTCCTTGATCAATAAACTCGAGCAACTGCTCAATAGAAATAACATGTGATGTGATTAGAAATATGAGTGATGTAACACACTTGCTCAGCTTCAAAGAGGGGAAGACTAGGGAGAGAACTGAAATAAAGAGGGAGAGGGAAGAAAACAAGAACAAAATAGCAAGGGGAGCAAGAGAGGGAGGGCAGAACACAAAGAGAGGGGGGAGCTATCAAACTTTACTCATAATACTTCATTCATTCATCAAGTGTCCAATACAAGAGCAAGCTTAGTCTATTTAAGCTAAACTTTCCTTCCTTTTAAGGAAACCTTAACAATTTGTCCATATAAAGTTAAGGTCCAGATTTCCTTCTTACAAAAGTATTAAAATAACACAAAAGCAACTTATTTCTTCCTAGAATAATATTTCCCATATTTTCTATCAATGGGGGTGTCTTATTGTCAACTAACTGTATTTTCTTCTCTTTTTAATGCATTTCTATGCTCTTTTTTTCTTTTCTTTTTTTTTTTTTTTTGGGTAATATGTATCTCTTTCGTTACTATAAAACTGATATAGCATCAGTTTCACCCCTCAAAAATATCATTTTTACCGCTAATTCCATGCACCAGAATAAGCACCTCGTATAGAAGCATATATCCCATCCATTCCGAGATTATGACATCAACCTCTTCATCTATTTCAACATCCTGCAGAAAGGATACCTAATGTTAAGCAAATTAAGAAAATGGTTCCAACTAGCAAACGTGCAAATAGAGAGAACAAAGTTGATTAAATAATATAGGGCAAAGTAGAAACCATTAAACAATACAATTAAATATTACATACCAAAGTTACTGATACGTTCACAGAAAATTGAAATCATGCCTAAATTTCATAACAATTTTATGATTTCTAACATAACTTGATACTTTTTGCATAAATAATCTTTGTTGTTTTACCATACTCCTTCTATCTTAATCTCATCCATCACATGTTCATTTTTCTCAATTTTTTTTCCAACAGAAGAAAATTTTACAAAGCCAATCAACACCACCATGCAAGTCTTACAAACCGATAATGGCACCAAGTACTTTAACCAATCATTGAGTGTTTTCCTCCAAATGCATGGTATTGCCCATACCAATTCTTATGTCTATACCCCAACAAAATGGAGTTGTAGAAAGAAAAAAATCACCATATGCCTGAAGTTGCTAGAGCACTCATATTTACTTACAATGTGCCTAAACTTTATTAGGGGAAGACTATTAACTGCAACCTACCTAATCAATAGTATGCCCAGTCAAATCTTATCCTTTGACACTCCTTTCCACAAACTGCAAAGCATTTTCTCCACATCTCATACTGAAACCAATATTTCGCTTCATGTGTTTGGTTGCAAAACTTTTGTCTATAACCACCAAAGCACTAAACTTGAATCTTAAGCTATCAAATGCATATTCCTTGGGCATTTTGCTACTCGAAAAGGATATAGATGCTTTGACCTTGTCTCAAAACACACATTTGTTAACCTTAACATCACCTTTATGAAGATGCTCCATTCTATCCCAATCCTTCGATTTAGCAGGAGAGCATAGGTCAACCTCAAACTTGGGAACAGAACTCTAACAAAGAACTGATACTTCCCAAGCCATGATTTACACTAAATGAGCCATTATCTCCAAACTCCGCCTATATTTATAGCCGACCCCAAGCCCTGGTAAAGGAGGAGGGTTGTGTTAGGCTATCAACAGCCAACATAAAACTTTATTGAATCTATCATCAACATGGACGTTATAATGTTAATGCTAGGTCGTTGCCCGTAAGAAACGCGCTGCATGCTCGACTACAGTGATAAGTGAGTTAGAGCCGCTGCATCAACGCCCGGATGTAGTGTTAAATGAGCAAGGGCTACTGCGTCATTCTAGACGCACGCGGCTAAAGAAGTTAGTCCATGAGAGCAAAATTAGATTTGGTAGTTGGAATGTTGGGACATTGAATTGTAAATCTATAGAGGTTGTAGAGGTTATGATTCAAAGAAAAATTAATATCCTTTGCCTGCAAGAAACAAAATGGCGTGGAGAAGAAGCTAAGGATATTCAAGGTTTCAAACTTTGGTATATAGGAAAAGTAAGTGCACGCAATGGAGTAGGCATCATTATAGATAAGGAGTGGAAGAAGAATGTTGTAGAAGTTAGCAGAATTGGAGACAAATTATTTCCTTAAAAATGATAATTGGACGTGAGACTGTTAATATTGTTAGCGCTTATGCGCCGCAAGTCGGGACAGAAGCCAATCTTAAGGAATTATTTTGGGAGGATTTGGAGGGATTAATTCGACACATACCACAAAGTGAAAAGATTTTTATTGGAGGAGACTTTAATGGGCATGTCAGGAGAAAGCTGGTCAGCATGCGAGGGTGCATGGTGGTTTTGGTTTTGGAGAGCTAAACAATGAAGGACAAACTCTTCTTGATTTCTCATTGGCGTATGATTTTAAGATTGCCAACACTTGTTTCAAGAAGAGAGTTGAGCATCTCAACACTTACAAAAGTGGAGCCTCAAGGTCACAGATTGATTTTCTTTTGGTTAGGAACACAGATAGAAAACTTTGTAAAAATTGCAAGGTGCTCCCCGGAGATGCTGTAACGACACAACATAAGGTCCTAGTCCTTGATGTGTGTATTATGAGTAAAATCCAAAAACGTCGACAAGTAGTAGCACCAAGGATTAGGTGGTGGCAATTAAAAAGTGAGAAGCAAGATATTTTCAAGCGAAATCTTTTGGATAAAGGAATTTGGGAATCTCAAAGAAGTGCTAACATCATATGGGAGGATATGGCTAAAAAGATACGGGGGGTTGCAAAAGTAGTTTTGGGAGAATCGAAAGGTTTTCATCTGAGTAGAAGTAAGACGAAATATTTATATTGTAAATTTGGTAAAGGACTACTCGACAATAATTTGGAAGTGAAATTGGGAGATCAAATTATACCTCAAGTGAAAGAGTTTAGATATTTGGGAGCCATTATTCAAAATGATGGCGAAATCAGTGGAGATATTTCACATAGAATTCAAGCTAGGTGATTTAATTGGAGAAAAGCTAAGAGTTATTTGCGACCGTAAGGTGCCTAATAAACTTAAAGGAAAGTTTTATCGCACTGCTATCAAACCGGCAATGTTATATAATAGTGAATGCTGGGCTCTAACGGGACAACAAGAGCATAAAGTTGGAGTAGCAGAGATGAGAATGTTACGATGGATGTGCGGACATACACGTAAAGATAAAATTCGAAATGAGCACGTACGCTAAAAAGTGAGGGTGGCACCTATTGAGGAAAAAATGGTAGAAAATCGGTTGAGATGGTTTGGGCATGTACAAAGAAGACCAAGGGAGGCACCGGTGAGAAGAGTGAAACATATAACTTTGAGTCCGATTAAGAGAGGTAGAGGAAAGTCTAAGAGAACACTCTTGAAAATTGTTGAACGCGATCTCTTAATTAAAAATATTCCTAAAAGCTTGATAAATGATAGAGCACAATGGCGTCTTGCAATCCATATAGCCGACCCCACCTAGTGAGATAAAGGCATGTTGTTGTTGTTGTTGTTATATCATCAACATGGATAATAAATATTATAATGCTAATGCTAGGTCGTTGCCCGTAAGTAACGTGCTGCATGGCTCGAGTACAGCCATAAGTGAGTTAGAGCCACTGCATCGACACCCGGATGTAGTGTTAATTGAGCAAGGGCTACCGCGTCATTCTGGACGCTAAAGAGGTTAGTCCATGAGAACAAGATTAAATTTGGTACTTAGAATATTGGAACATTGAATTGTAAATCTGTAGAGGTTGTAGGGGTTATGATTCAAAAGAAAATCAATATCCTATGCCTGTAAGAAACAAAATGGAGTGGAAAAGAAGCTAAGGATATTCATGGTTTCAAAATTTAGTATACAGAAAAAGTAAGCACACGCAATAGACTAGGCATCATTATTGATAGGGAGTAGAAGAAGAATGTTGTAAAAGTTAGCAAAATTGGAGACAGAATTATTTCCTTAAAAATGATAGTTGGACGTGAGACTGTTAATATTCCTATGCGTCTCAAGTCGGGACAGAAGCCAGTCTTAAGGAATTATTTTGGGAGGATCTGGAGGGATTGATTCAACACATACTACAGAGAGAAAAGATTTTTATTAGAGGAGACTTTAATGGGCATGTCAGGAGGGAGGCTAGTCAGTATGCGAGAGTGCATGGTGGTTTTGGTTTTAGAGAGTTAAACAATGAAGGACAAACTCTTCTTGATTTCTCATTAGTGTATGATTTTAAAATTACCAACACGTGTTTCAACAAAGAGATAAGCATCTCATCATTTTACAAAAGTGGAGCCTCAAGGTCACAGATTGATTTTCTTTTGGTTAGGAACACAGATAGAAGACTGTAAAAATTGTAAGGTGATTCTCGGGGATGCTATAACGACACAACATAGAGTCCTAGTCCTTGATGTGTGTATTATGAGTAAAATTCAAAAACGTCGACAAGTAATAGCACCAAGGATCAGGTGGTAGCAATTAAAAGGTGAGACGCAAGATATTTTCAAGCAGAATCTTTTAGACAAAGGAATTTTAGGAATCTCAAGGAAGTGCTAATATCATGTGAGAAGATATGGCTAAAAAGATAAGGGAGGTTGCAAAAGTAGTTTTGAGAGAATCAAAAGGTTCTAGTCCGAGAGATAAGGAGTCTTGGCGATGGAATAATAGTGTACAGGACAAAATCAAATATAAAAGAACTATTTTAAAACCATACAATTGTGTAACAATGAGGAAAATTAGGAGAAGTACCACATGGCTAAGAAGGAAACTGATAAAGCCCATGATTTTACTAAGACCTATAAGAGGAAATCAATGAAGGCAATGAGCTTAGAAGATAACATTATTGTTGGTTCAGATGTTTGCCCTCTGGATGCTGGTTATAAGGAAAAGTAATTGATGGTCTAGTGATGTGTTAGGTCCCTAGTGATGTGTTAGACTTCTAGGGGTAAGGGTTGTGTCAGAGTCACTTTTTGGGTCTTTAAATCTTCCTCCTTGCCTAGAGAGAGGGTGTGGATTATTTGGAATATTGAGAGTGATGAGGAGAGCTCTGGCCTCTCGAATGTCAGGTTGGGGGTGGTGGAAGTCATCTTTCTTCATCATTTTATCTTCTGCTTAGTGTATGTTTGCAAGTGAGTGACTTATATTTTGTGAATGTTGTTTGGTTGTGTATTTTTGTGCTGTTTCTGTTTCAGTATGCTGTAATTTTCAGTTCCTTATTTCGCTGTAATCCAACTTTGCTATTCAGCAATAGTAATTTTCAGTCCCCATTTGTGTTGTAGTTTCTGGTTTATGCTTGTTTAAAGCTTATTAGAATAGAGGGTTCCATCAGAAACTAAAAGAGCTATGACTGAAGCGCGTTCTAAAACTTTTAAAGAATTTTATAAGAGCATTGAAACGAAGGAAGGAGAACGAAACATTTATAAGATTGCTAAAAGTAGGGAAAGAAAATCAAGAGCTCTAGAACAAGTAAGGTGTATAAAGGATGAAGAGGGAAGAATTTTAGTTACAGATGATGAAATTAAAAATAGATGGGAAACTTACTTTTCTAAACTTTTCAATGATGGAAAAGGTTCATCTAGTAACTTGGAGGATTTAGTAACCTGTGAAGGAGAACAAAATTTGTC